GCCTACCCATTCTCACCTGGGTGAAGTGAGGAAAATTTATGTAAAGTGCCTTTTCCAAGGACACAATATCGGGCCTCTGACGAGAATCGAACCCATGACCTTACGTTTGTTTTTTTAAAGTATGATTTTACGGCGCTCACATGAGCACCACCTTAGGGTTGTGAGTCTGCAAGCCTTACCGCTAGGCCATCCATGCCACACCAGTCTAATGGTGACAAAGATAGCAAGAGGGTTGAACACCACTATAAAGACTGCAAGGTTATTTAACGAGTAGGACCAGTGAACTTCACATTCAACACCGCTGTGGCGTGGAGACTAAAACAATCTCCAAACAAGCGAGTTCAAGAACACCCAGTCCATATTATGTACTCTATCGAGGAGAAGGTTAGTGCTGATAGTTGTTTTTTTTTAAATAGAGGTTTTACAGCGCTCGCAACTGCATAAGGTCATATGAGCGCCAAGGGGTGGATGTCCTTACAGGGAATCAGACTTACTCTGCTCACCTCTCTAGCTTTAACAGCACAAAGTCTGCTTCAACAATCAAGGCACCCCGGAAATAGCGGGTCACAAGAGTGTGACAAACATACAAAAGAAGTAGAGGAAAATGACGATAGTAAGGATTAGGAAAGAAAAAGCAGCACTTCCTTGTTGTAGTTCAGGCACAGTTATGAGATGACATGGTTGGATCAGCCCATTTACAATTCTACTGTGCAGTAGAACGAGAAATGCCCCCCCCTTTGGGAATGGCCTAAAGACACTTCAGTCAGTGGAACCGCCCCGGGGGGTAAGGTGAGTTCTTCGACACAGACCATAAGACTAAAGATGACAATATATTCTATATATGCAGCAAATCTCAAAGAACATCTCTTAAACAAGGAAATAGTAATAAAACATTTTAAAAATAAGGCAACATGGTACATTCTGAAGAGAATATGAGTCAACATGAATGTATATTAGGGTACACGGAATACCACACAATAGACAAAATTTCTGGAAGGACCCTCGGCAACATTTTGGAGAGAGCAACGGAGCATCAATGGACATGTCCGGAGTGCAGGGATGTTGCTTCCTTGAACAATGAACAATCTGCTACTTTTGAAATTCATAAAAATGTGATATTTCCCGATTTTTCTCTTTCCTTCTGAACATTAAAGAAGCAACGGCATCTGACAGATAGTTTTCTGATCAGAACCGACCACACAGTCAATGGTGAAAGCTACATGGGCGTCAATTTTCTCAAGTCCCATTCATACGTTAAACGTATCTTAATCGTACTAAACGTCCTTTGAAGCATGCACAGTAGGCATCACTGAGTATTCTGAGGTGAGTCTTATTATTGAGTGTGAAAAACAACTTGATAAATCATAGTGTGCATTGATAAATCTCAGAACAGTGGTGAACTAAAATGATGAAATTTGACTATATTTATGAATATTCGTTACTTAGTTATTTTTTGCTTGCTACCTTTTCCAAGCAAAAAGATAGCCATAGAGCACTTACATGAACGTGTAATACTATGTAAATACAGTGGACTGAGATACAAGTTGTGTGCCTGATATAATGTCAGCAGAATGACGGAGATGCCTGACAAAACGGTCGCTTTTAAGCACAAGGGGGCTATCCCGAAAAATGCTGTTTTGAGAAAATCGAAGGTAAAGTTTTTGCCCCTTGTTCAGTTTCTTTGAAAATCAAGGAGAGTTTTCTCTATAACCAAACAAATATACACATCAATGAAACCAAACTTCTCCTATAGGTAGGGCAAAGCCCACTTTTGGTGTAGGTCAAGATTTCTGAAAAGCCCCGAAATCTGGGTTAGCCCGCTTGTCCTTAAAAGCGACCAAATATTCTCCACATGTGAGAACTGAACTCAAAAGTCCAATGAATGCGAGGCAAACAGTGTTACCATTATACCTGAGATTTCAGTACATTTTGGTTGAAATCGGCGAAAGTTAATGAAATAGTATTCCCAAAGAAAGAAAAACATGTCAAAAGACATCTACATTGCTGTTTCTTAATTCACATTACAAATTCATAATTCAATGAAATATACAGAAAAAATATTCTTTCTCAAGACAAAAGGAAACACTGATTATACCACGCTTAAAGTGCGTAACAAATGAAAACAACAATTCAGGACTAGCCTACGGCACATAAAAATCCCGTACCCACTCAAATGTACATGGCATCAAGAATGATCACTACTCAATCATGTCAAAAAAACAAAAAACAACATTAGAGGAATGCTGAGGTACTTCAGGTCACTGTACCAGTATAGATCAATAGTGACAGAAGTGCCTTTGTACAAATTGTGGCAGGTACTGGGCTTTCACCCCGTGGTCTAGTATAATGCTAATGATATTCACAATATCGATAATAACAAAAAGCGTTTGTGCATTAAAAAAACAGAGAGAAACAACTCTACACCATAAAGTAGCTGGTCTGAGTCAGCACGTTTTAGAAAGAGTTTTACGGCACTTGCAACACAGTAAGGTCAGATAAGTGCTGAAGATTAGAGGTGTTACAAGAGAGTAACAAACACAAAAAAAGGAGTAGAGATCAGGATGATAGATGTTTGTTAGGAAAGAAGGAGCAAACCACACCAGAGCATCCACCAACAACCCCACTTCTAAGTGAGCACATTCTAAAACAAGTTACAAATGCTGCTATTGATTTATAGAGAAGAACCAACTCCAAAGGTTGTCATCACCAAAATTTCATAAAAACTGTTTAGATGATTTAAAAACCAAGGCTGGAAACCCACAGACTTTCTCTAAAGAACTGCTTTGCACTTTTAGAACTTGTCCTGCATTTAGCACCAGTATCCTTTACAAATCACTAAAGACAGTGAAAATAAAATAGAAGCAACAGAAAGGTGGTTTCTTAGGAGACTGCTATGAGTATCGTGGAAGGAAAAGAAATCAAATGAGGTAGTGCTTGATGAAGCCCACGTGGGACGCTCAATGTTAAAAACAATCAGGAAACGACAAATGTAGTTTTTGGGACACCTGAATAGACATAAGGGTCTTGAACATCTAGCTCTCACTGGCAAAATTGAGGGCAAGCGAGGCAGGGGTAGGCCCAGAACAACATACTTAGGGAACCTAAACAAATGGGTAACAGGAAAAGATCAAGGAAACGTAGCTTTTTTGAGAGCATCCGAACTAAGGAATGAATGGAAAACCATGATCGCCGATGTCTGTCGCAGATCTGGCACTGGATGGTGATGATGATCCTTTACAAGAACGGTAGCAGAAGGTTATATTAATAAAAACAATAGTAACTGCATTTATATGGTGCATTTTCACAGTCTACAGCATGCTCAATGAGCTTTACAAATATTATTACCCCAGCTGACCCTTAAATACTCAGAAACATTCTCGGCTTCCAGGAAAGCAAACAGTGCAAGCTGCGGATTTCACATCCTCAAACACTAACAAACTGACAAGATGTTTCACTGTCTATAGCAAGGTACCGGTACCCATTTCCACCTGGGTAAAGTGAGGAAAATTTGTGTAAAGTGCCTTTCCCAAGGACACAACGTCGAGCCACTGACAGGAATCGAACACAAGACCTTAGGGTTGCAAGTTTCAGAGTCTAACCACAAGGCCACTGACACCACTGCTGTAGCCCTTTCGTGAGAGTAACTATCATTTACATGTGAACATGGGCCCATGGGTAGTAGCAGCTCAATTGTGGTTTCTCAAACGAGTCAGAAATAAATTGACGACGATTAACAGTCGCAAACGGAGAAAGTCTCGATATTAATTTAAGTTTTATTTCAGCCTGAAAAAAAGATCATTAGGAAAACACATCTGCATTATGTATTAATACAGTAAATTTTACTGCGGGAAAATTACGATATATGACGTTGGCATTAGATGCATATGTATATATATATATATATATATATATATATCTATTTATTTATTTATAGCATGCTTGGTACTCCAACACTGTGCTCCTTGAAAGTACATGTAGTAACTTTGGACGTACATGGTAAACCACCATTAACGTTGATATGTATGTATTCTTCAATAGTGGAACTGCTGGTATTTTATATATATATATATCTACTTTGTACATATATCCTTCAACAGCGGGGCTACTTGTCCAGTGGATCATTCAAGTCCTAACAACAAAGATCACATACCACACACACTGAATCATGAAGAGGAGAATAAGAATTAAAAAGACTCCATGACTCATCAAAGAAGTAAAAATTCGGCTTTCACCTAATTCTTTTCTCATAATACACAGCGTAAAGGCAACAGCCCATATACATTAACATGAAATATAAATCTTGACAAAATATTTGGAATAACAGTATATCAAAAGGATATACTATAGATATCATAAACTTTCTCAGCATCCGACCCAATACAGGACAATAGACACAAGAAGCAGACATGCATTTTTACTCTCGATTCTTGAGTGCTTTTAGTCTGTGGTTTTCAAAGAGCATAACCACACATTAGACTCATAATGACACTTTAGATGGATAAAATGTAATCCACAAAATGAACATGAAAAACCAGTCAATAGACATTGTTAAGAATTAACCCATTATATGACTGACAATTGGCTACACATGCACAAGAACATAAGAGTAATAATAAATAATAATAATAATAATAATAATAATAATAATAATAATAATAATAATAATAATAACAGTACAGTCGGACCTAATAATGTAGTAAGATGCCCCCCTCCTTCCCTGAATGTAGAACAGAGGTGAAAGCAAGACAAAACGGAAGAAAGGCGACTATCAATCAGAATTTACATTCTAATAGTCAGAATCTGGAGGAAGACCTGTAACACCGTTCGTAGAACGGGTCTGTATCTTGTAATAATGATAATAGTAATAATAATAATAATAATAATAATAATAATAATAATAATAATAATAATAATAACAGTACAGTTGGACCTACTCCGACGGCCACCTGTATAAGACAATCACCTGTACAAGCGGCTACTTCTCATCATCCCCCCCCCCCCCCCCACCACATTCTTTTTGCATTGATATGACACAGCCTAATAATACAGCCACCTGTCTAAAAAGTCCACTCTTCTCCTTGACAACAGGTGGATGTCTCGGACACTTTTGACTGTATAACAGTAATGGTATTCTTTTCATCACTAACTGTGGGCACTAGTTCCCATGATATTAACAAAGGCACCTTGCATGATAAATCACATATCAAAAGACCAACAACACTTTTCACAGAAAAAAAAAAGTGTATCCTTTTCTAAGGCAGCGGAGTCAGCAAGCAGAAAAAATTTATTTAAAAACAAACGAGAGCAGTGAAGAACTTCTGCATTGCTTGCGAGTATACCATTAATTTTTCTCACATTATCGATGATGTGAGAAATTGCTTTTCTTCAGCAGGCAGTGGAATGAGCAAGCAGAAGAAATTTTAAAAAACAAACCCCGAGAGCATTGAAGAACCTCCACAATGCTTGCGTATACCATTCGTTTTTCCCACATCATCTCTGGGAAATGCATGAAATCTCTTAGCTCCCTTTGCTTTTCTTAGTCAGGCAGTGGAGTGCATTGAAGAACTTCCACAATGCTTGCGTATACGCATTCGTTTTTCTCAGATTGTCGCTGGGAAGTGCATGAAATCTCCAGTCTCGGTCCAGCTGATGGCGCACGGGTCAGGAGATTGGCACTGTGAATCCCAACAACATAAACACGACAAAATTATTAACACTCAGTAAAATCATTTGTTAAAACACGACAAAATTGTTAACACTCTGTAGAATCATTTGTTAATAGACAATGACATAGTGTTCAATCTACAACATTTTCAGTAAAAAATGGAACATGTTCTTAGTAAGCGTTTCACGCCTCTTGTAATGCAATTAGTAATAGGTCATACAAGTGCTGAAGATTAGAAGTGTTACAAGAAAGTAACAAACACAAAAAAGAAGGAGGAGACATTAGGATGATAAATGTTTGATAGGGAAGAAGGAATCAACCAGATCAGAGCACACACCAACCAACCACTGAATGAAATTGAACTGAGAGAGAGAGAGAAAGAGAGAGAGAGAGAGAGAGAGAGAGAGAGAGAGAGAGAGAGAGAGAGAGACAGAGAGAGAAAGAGAGACATAGGGAGAGAGAGAGAGAGGGGGGAGAGGGAACAAACAGAGAAAGAGACAGAGAGGGGGAGAGGGATGAAGGGAAGGACGATGGAAGGGAGAAAGAGAAAAGAGGGGCGGGGGAGGGTGGGGGGAGGGAATAGCATGGCACAATACCATGAAAGCTCACAAACAGACTCAGGACCATTGACAGAGCATATTATAGTCATACCAACAATGTAAAGTGAAAATAAAGCTAGTAAACAAAATTGAAAATAAAACTAGTAAACAAAATTGAAAATAAAACTAGTGAACAAAATTGAAAATAAAACTAGTGAACAAAATTGAAAATAAAACTAGTAAACAAAATTGGCAGTGGCAGTGCATTTCTGTGTAGAAGAATGAATGAAATAAAAATGTTTTACTCAATCAATGAGAGATCAACGTTTAAGATCAAAGTTGCTTGTGGCTCGGAATACTCTTAGCTTTAGTTCAGAGTTTTTTGTTTTAGCAGAGGTTTTACAGCGCTCGCAAACTGCATAAGGTCATATGAGCGCCAGAAGATTAGAGGTGTTACAAGAGAGTAACAAACATAAAAAAGAAGGAGGGGAGATAAGGACGATAGATGGTTGATAGGAAAGAAGAAGCAAACCATACCAGAGCACCCGCCAACCACCCACCGTTCAGAGTTTTGTTTATTTTTTGTTTTAGCAGAGGTTTTACAGCGCTCGCAACTGCATAAGGTCATATGAGCGCCAGAAGATTAGAGGTGTTACAAGAGAGTAACAAACATAAAAAAAGGAGGGGAGATAAGGACGATAGATGTTTGATAGGAAAGAAGAAGCAAACCACACCAGAGCACCCGCCAACCACCCACAGTTTAGAGTTTAAGGGCTCTTGCAACAAAAATAGGTCATATAAGTGACAAAGATTACTGATGTTACTAGAGAGATACATACAAAGAAAAAGACACTGACAACCAATAATGCCATCAATTTTCATCTTTTCAACCGTGGATAAAAAGATAAACAGGACAATAGGTTAAAACAGTAAAAATAAACACCCAACAAAAAATTTTTTTTTAAAAATGAGTTGGCGATGGGTAGTTTATAAGAATATAAGCCCTGATTCAATCAAAATCTTTTAGTAAAACATAAAAAAGGGCTAATCAGTGAACAAGAAATGAGCGCTTGGTTAACTCTTTATCTGTTAGGGGGGGTAAACCCACTACGCCGGGGCCCTTTTTTGGTGCTAAAAAAACGTCATTAAATCAAAACTAGCAAACCTATTTTGATAGTTCTTCATCTAATGAATAAACTTCTGATATAAGAGACCTGTTTTCGGCAATCGCTGAAAAGTAATTTGATGTCAAAGTCATCGTAAAACAAAGTACCCGCTGTCAGAGGCTCACCGGCACAGGGGTTCCGATAGCGAGCCACTGGGAGCGGCTTGTCGGAGATAAACAGTTAAGACCTCTATAAATAGCGAGGCTGGTATATAACAGCCATGAAAAGAGACAAATATTATGTCATCACATGAGCAGGGAACAAGTTTATATTTTCATGCAGTGATTTTACTTGTCCCAAGTGATTTTACTTGTCCCAAGTGAAACAGTTTAAATCATTTAGGAGGCCGGCTTCCGACCCTGCCTGTCAGAGCCAACCAAAAGGCCGAGAAGGATACAACATCCCAGCAGAGAGAACGAGAGACTCAATAAAAATCTTCTCCCCACTCGGGAATCCAACTGTTTGTCCATCAATTAGCCCTTTTGCCCCACATCTTGCACTTGAGCATTTCCCCTCATAAAGGTCTGGTGCCATTTTAAATGACCAAAGTATTGTCATTTTCTTCTTTTTATTTTTATAAAGAAGGGTTTGTCTTGTGCGGAGTCAATCAGACACACGTCATTGTTAGTTACTGTCATTAAGTATCGTGTACTGGCAGCATCGTCCCTGAAAATAAAAAAATGTCCATCAGATGATACGCAAGTGCTATAGACGAGACCCGAGAGATTGTACCTCCAGTCCCAGTTCTTTCAAAAGGTCTCTGAAAACGGTATCCCTCGAGCGGTCGCTGTGCAGAAACCGAGGGATCAACTTCTGAAGGTCAGGGTCATCTTTCTTTAAAAGTCTGGCCGTGTATTCCAGGTGAACACCCGAGAGAACGGCCGATCCTTTCCCCACCCGGCACTTGACCACAGCGGCTGGCTGGTTGGGTAACGTCAAGTACTGTCCCAAATCTTCCACCTGAAGAGATCGTGGGTGCTCGATGCGCGGTTGAAAATAGCCCCCACCCTGCATGTAGGCGTCGAAAGGTTCCATCTCTTTGTACTTGATGGGGACGGGATGCACGCCCTTTTTGGAGTTGTAGCAGAAGCCGCTGAACGCCGGTCCAATACTGTCTCCTTTGGAAACAAAGAGGCACCGTGTCATGAGGGCCAATACTGCAGCAATGTTGTTGCAAAAATGGAAAACGTAAACAGAAAATGTAAAATGTAAACAGGACACATGTACTGAAACCTCAAAATATAAAAGAATATTATTATTTAGATTTAAAAAACAAGCCCATTGAATATTTTGGTTCCAGTAATCCCCTCCCTTTTTCTTTCTCTTTTCTTTTATATTCCTCATTTTTTTTCACACCTTACTTTATGAAGATCTACTGACCACAGTGAAGAGACGAAAACTAAAATGGTATGGGCATGTCACAAGATCCATAGGACTTGCGAAAACAATCCTGCAAGCAACCGTACAAGGAAAGAGAAACAGAGGAAGGCAGAGAAGGAGATGGGAGGACAACATTACAGAGTGGACAGGAAAGACGCTGGTGAGACAATCTGAGGAGAGCAGAGGACAAAAATAGATGGCGAGAGCTGGTTTTCCAATGCAGTGGTGCCCCAACGGTTGCCCCAACCACGGGATAGAAGAAGAAGAAGAAGAAGAAGAAGAAGAAAAAGAAGAAGAAGAAGAAGACTTTCCTTCTCTGGCACTCACACACATATCAGGTAAGGGTGAGGGGAAAGGAGAGAGAGAGTGGGGAGGAAAGAAGATAACAGAACAGGTCTAGAAAACAGGAAAAGAGGACAAAGGAGAACATTAATTCAGAGATTAACATTTGTTTTGTTCTCACTGGCAGGTTTCGATCTTGAGCACTTTTCACTGAGGGACAATAGCTTGAGAGACCTCTTCACTACGAAAACCTCTAGCCTGTCAAGCCCTGATTATCTTATGTCACTCCCCTTTCAAAAGATGAGTGATCAGTCCCTTTCGCTAAACAAACACGCACCTGGATAAAAATTCAAATCCCGTTTTCCGACCACCTCCAGAGGCCCATTCTTGTCAAACTCGATGTAATCACACGCGAAGTACGCTCCCGCACAAAGGCCCAGGTAAGAGCCGCCATTCTGCACAAACTCCTTGATGTTTCTCGTGCCCTCAGTCCCCAAAGCTTGGATAAAGCCTCTGTCGTAACCTCCTCCAAACGCAATAAGGCGACATCTGGCAACCCATGAGCCTGAAAGTATGACGATAAATTTACTCGATGTATGGTAAATGTGTGTGTGTGTGTGTGTGTGTGTGTGTGTGTGTGTGTGTGTGTGTGTGTGTGGAGAAAGGTACCAGTTGTGGGAAATTTTGGATATAATTGAACTAAGAGCACATTCCTGTAGCAAATTTAATGCTGAACACACAGGTTTAAAAGTGTTTAAATTATCTTGAGCAGATTTAAAGATATGCCACACTTTGTGACATAAAGTGTAAAAGCAAAGTTTGGAGAAAACCCAGTTTCTAGCACATTTGTGAGGCAGCGTGGTGGAATCAGGCTCTCGTCAAATTATGGGCATGTAGAGTTATTGGTATCATCTTAGAGCTTGTTCACTTGTCTTTATTTGGATGAAAATAATATCCATTTATCTAGAATACAAATCGAGATATTTGCGAGGAGGAGGGGGTCACCTATTTTCAGAGGTAAAATTAGTGAGAAAATGGCCGCCAAAGATTAGTTATTTCCTTAGCTTAAGAGTCCGTTGTAACTGAAAATGTATATTTTTGTGCCTTTAATCAAAGCTTTTCAGAAAAATCCACACAGAAACGAGCTCTTTAAATGAGCATGAAAGGTTTTGAGCCACAAAACAAAAGTTTGATAAAAATTCACAAACCTGCTGCAGAAAAATGCAAGTTCCTTCACTTTGATTATTTTGACGAGAGCCTGATTCCACCACGCTGCCTCACATTTTTAACCTTTGAAGAAGTATAACATGTCGCAAAAATAACTGATACAAAAATAATTTGGACCTAAAACACTATAAAATCCCTTCAATATGTTATTAAGAAATGGTTAAACGTGAATTTTCTGATGGAAGTAAATTTTGGACAAGGTACTGCTTTTTGGGCCTTTCCCCCCCCGTTGCTCATAAACAGCTTTGCCGACAACCGGAATCTTTCTCCAGGCACTTGCTTTAGTAGAGGTTTTACCGAGCTCGCAACTGCAGAAGGTCATATGAGGGCCAGAAGATTAGAGGTGTTACAAGAGAGTAACAAACATTAAAAAAAAGAAGGAGGGGAGATAAGAACGATAGATGTTTGATGGGAAAGAAGAAGCAAACCACACCAGAGCACCTGCCAACCACCCACTTTCTCCTGGTAGAAGAAGCAAGCCACGCCAGAGCACCCGCCAACCATCCACTTTCTCCAGGCAGAAGAAGCAAACCACGCCAGTGAGTGGTTGGCAGGTGCTCTGGTGTGGTTTGCTTCTTCGAGATCTTTCCTATCAAACATCTATCGTCCTTATCTTCCCTTCTTCTTTTCTCTAATCTTCTGGCGCTCATATGACCTTATGCAGTTGCAAGCGCCGTAAAACCTCTACTAAAACTTAACTTTAAAAAACCACGTCAGAGCACCCGCCAACGACCCACTTTCTCCAGGCAGACACACACATAATATATGTGAGTACAATGTAGACATCTATAAGCATAAATGCGACACTTTACCTTCAATAATCTCCTTGGGGGACACGTATCTTATGTCATAGCGCCCCTTCTTGAGAGACTGACGCAGCGCTTCGAGAAGCAAGTAGGCACTCTCCGCCCCGCTTCCCTTCCCGTTGTAAATGAGAATGGTTGTGGCATTACTGCAAGGATCCATCAGCAACTGCGGGAAAAAGACAATACAACATGATAATTCTTCCACAAAAGGAAAACGTAAGAAAGGAAGGCAAAAATGACATGGAGGCGACCGGCGAGCGGTACAAGCGGAAATTATGGAAAAGGCGGGGACATCATGGAAAGAGCTAGAAAAGGATGCACAGGACAGGCTTCGCTGGAGAAATGTTGTTGATGGCCTATGCTCCACTGGGAGTTAAAAAGGGCAAGAGTGGAGAGAGAGATAATTTTAGAAAATAAAAGTACCTCAATAGATTTTTTAAAATTACTTTTAGATAGAAAGTAAAAACACCATTTTCTAATCCTCAATAGATATGTCACGATAATTCTAGAAAAAAAGCACCACTTTTTAGTCCTCAATAGTTGACATGATAATTCTAGAAAATATGAAGAACCAAGTTTTAGTCCTGGGGGTTGAGTGAAAGAATGGGCAATATGGTACGTCAAGTTTGAAAAAAAAATTAATGGAAAACTGCTACGTTACTACTTTGGATCCTTAAATTCTTACTGCTGTCTTTCAGCTACACATCTGACCATAGGATAGGTTAGATCTAAAATCTAGCCTTATCGGATAAGGGCGAAATTTCTGGGAGGCTCCGTATACAAGTTGCGCACTTAAAGATCACTTGGTGGTACAAAATCAATATATATGAGTATGCTTCGGCCGCCACCCCGACAAAATTCAAAATAAAATTAATTAGAGGGAGGGAGAGACACCAAACTGATTATGCTTAACGTTTCCTGAGCACTCATATGACCTTATGCAGTTAACTACGAGCGCCGTAAAACACTTATCCCCCCAAACAAACAAAAAAAGTGACTGAGATTAAAGGTGTTATAAGAAACAAACACAAAAAAGAAAAGGAAATATAGATAGGGAAGAAGGAGCAAACCACACTGCGCATGCTTTCAACACAGGAATTTAATTTTTTTTCTCTCTCATAAAGTAGAGTAAAAAAATGCGTAATAAACACACCGCAAGACGTAATGTTTTTTGTTTTTTTAAATAAAAAAACCAAACAAACTGGAAACTATGACGATGCAATGATGAAGGTGATCTATAATGACAATAAAATGGCATTTTGGATGCAAAGAAAAACTGATAACAAATAAGCATGGGAGACAGCAACTATTTATTCACCTTTCTTGGGTAGTATTTCCCAACTCGACAAAAGTTTTTAAGCATTTTCACAGAATGGCGGTATAAACCAAAAGTCAAGCACAAAATCAATGCAGAGAAACACTGAACCAGCACAAGTGTGTCCGAGGTACTCCCATAAACTACAGCGTCGAATCTTTTTAAACACGCAAGAAAGTAGTCGATCTTCTGCTGTATAATTTGTTGTTGCTATGGCAACTGATAACCAAATCAAAAACACAAGATGAAAACGGGAGGGGGCGTAAATGGTTGCCTATTTTCACATTAGCCGATCGAAACGGCCACTGCTTCTTTGTAAGGTGCTATCAAGAATCCCTTTCCATTTTTTTACGATTTTAATTCACAGAAAGAGAAATGAGTATGATTTTTATTCACAGAAAACGAAATGTTATCTATCCACCTACCCTACTTACCTACCTCTATCTATCTATCTATCTATGTATCTGTCTGTCTATCTATCTATCTATCTATCTATCTATCTATCTATCTATCTATCTATCTGTCTGTCTGTCTGTCTGTCCATCTGTCCATCAATCAATCTATCTATCTATCTATCTATCTATCTATCTATCTATCTATCTATCT